ATATTTTCACCTCACCTACAGGCTTACGGCACCATTGGACAGCTCCACATCAGACCTCATCCGAACATACATAAAATAAGCATTCAAATGATATAAGATGTGGGTGTGTGTAGGGTAGGCACATTGAACTCCAAAAATATGGCAGCTTTTCAGAGAATTGTCACAATATCTGTACAGGCAGGGAACTGTTCACCCTGGAGATACCCTAGTCAGACAGGAAAGACCAGAGGATGGGTCTCCACCCAAGAGAAGTAATGGCCAAAGGAGTCGGAAACCTGAGGGTGAGTGCCCTTGCTGGACCACTGAAGGGAACTACTACATGTGCTGTTGTCCTGAACTGTGCCATATGTTCTTGTGAAGGCAACAGAGGCAGGACTAAGATATTCTCAATTAAGAGGTCTAGACTTCCAGAGGAGCACTGGTGAATGTAGTTTGACCTCCTGTAGAAAATGCTGCCAAATAAAGCTGCCAATGGCATTTAAAACAGGAACTTGTCCCCCTTTCCTCCACACACTTTTGCTCCTGCCCTTCCCTCTTCCCCAAACCCAAGCAGAGCTGTCTATAACTTGGCATGGGATGAGAACCAGAGGATCCATGGACTCCACTAGGGACTTTGCTTTTGTCAGTCTATTTTATGTGGAAGGTGCTCAGGTCCAGACCTCAAAGATATATAGGCACCTGTTTCCCATAGAAATCCCTTTGAGGATCTGGACTGCAGATATTGCTATGTTGGGTAGCAGGACAAACCCTAAAATGGACAAAATTGTTATATAAATTGAGTAGAAACGTTTTCATTTGGATGAAATCTGACAATTACAAATTCTTATAAAGTCTTCAGAATTTCACAGGGGAGGGAGTTTCCCTGAAGAGCTCAAAGCCTTTTACACAAACATGACTCCCTTTGAGGAAGCAAAGTGTCATTGTTCCCAGTTTACAGATAGCTGTTCTGCCTTGATTTCCCTATAAGTGACTGCCCCCTCTGTGGTATGCCAGCTACTGGTAAACCGGGTTTTTTCTAGTCACATCATAATACAAAGGTTGATTGATTGGTGGAGCACGTCTCCTCCCATTTACAATCAGCACTGTATTTCATGCAGGGGTAATTTATTCTGATATTAGGGCACAGGGTTAAGGTATGACAAGTGTAACCTTAACTCTTGGTTTCCCTTTTTCCTATTGTTTGTGAGTTTTTGCGTAGTTTGAGAAGCATCACCTTAATGCCACATTTCCCTGTTTTCCAACTTTTGTTTTTTTAACCGTACATTTCTGTGAGATAGAAAGCAGGGGACCCAGTGTGGTGTGCCAGCAATCTTAATTCGTTCTTCAGTTATGTTTTCATTTGGTGAGGGAGGGGATTTCTATATGGTATGTATTTAGGCATACATTTCGTTACTGCACGAAGGGCTGGGTTGTTATATACCTCCAAGTCATCAAACACCTCTAACAGTACAGGTGGTCTTCAGATTTCAAGGGCTTAGTAACTCTATTGATGGCCACAGATGCTCAGTGCCATACAGATGCAGTATAAAACCCCAGGCAGAACAGAAGGGAATGGAGTTGTTCTTGATTTAAACCTGTGTAAGATCAACATTAATCAATTTTAGACAGGCAAGCCTATTTTTTTTCTTCACCCCCGCCCCCCTGCTCTTTTAATGAACAAAAATGGGGCCTGAGTCAAAGCTTGTTGAAGTTAATGGGAGTTATTCCATCCAGTTTAGTGGGCTTTGTGTCAGGCCCATTAACCGTAAAAATCGGAAGCAAAACTCACTTCCCATTTATGAGTTTCTGTGTGCGGTGATTTCAAACTAACAGAGCAGTGGATTTTGTTCCACACATCTTATTTTTTTTGTTCATCAGTACTCCAAGGCTAGCAAGGAAATGCAAGTGGTTACTGAGTTTTTTTCAGTCGTTTTGGGGGCAGAAAACTATTTTTTCATGTTAATATGTGCAAAGCCCTTGGCATCGCCATTTGAGAATGGTCAGTGGCAAAAATTGCAGATGATAAGCTATTGCACATTGAGCCAAACCCTGGACCAGGAGCAAAGCTTAAGTAAAAGTTGTGCTCTGGAAAACAGTGTGTGTTGGAAGGGGTGACCTGACTTCAGGCCAGGGCCAGCCGCACTGGAAACTGAACTGTAGCTGGGAGAACCTAGAGCTCTCCTCTTCATCCAAGCATGAGATTATGAGAGTCTGTACTATGCACAGACCGAATGAACATGCCCTTTATATGCCCCCAGCATAACCAAATTTACACACTTCAGTGGTGAGTCAGAGACGCATCACTAAACTCTCCTTAGCACACAGGGTTGCATCATTTCTTGTCCTTTTGCACAGCAGGCTCATTCCCTGTGACCCTTCCATTGGCACACAAACATATATCTGCCCTTAAAATATAAAAAAACGTCAGAATAAGGAACAAAACCAAACTATTATGGGGCCAGGGTTTTGCCCACTACAATGAAAGCAAGCTGTTCCTGTCTGGCCCATGCTCATGGAGTTTAATTATTTATAATAAGGTATTAGTTATAAATTTCACACTTACACTTCTGCCTAGTTACTAGTAATTTGCAATGGCAGGAGGAGAGGGTTGTACATAATCCATTCAAGGCCAGATTTTGTCCCCTTGCATGGGGGGATGCCTTATTCTGTGAGGTGTATTTCAATGGTCTACTCATGCAGTAAGGCACCACTCAGCTGAGGGACAGTGGGAGAATATGGTCCTCTGCCACTTTACCTATGTTTCTGTAAAGATGGAGGACTGGTGTTCTATTGATATCTGAACACATTCAGTGCTGGGGATTATAATATAAGACATGGCTGTTGTTTTAATCATTCATTTTTGTAGAGTCTGTGCCTTATTTGATATGCTGCATTATTAAAGCACAGATTGACAAATGAAAAATTAGGGGTCCAAGATTAGTACACAACTTGAATGTATCTTGGAAATGTGTTTTATTGGTCTGATTTGTATAAAATGTGACATCATACATAGAAATTGACAGACTGGCTCAGACCCAAGGTCCGTCTAGTCCAGTATACTGTCTCTGACAGTGGCCAGCAACAGATGTGTCAGAGGAAGGTGCAAGAAACCTTGCAGTACACAGATGTGGGATAAAATTGTACACAAGCACAGGGTTAACAAAACCTAGTTAGGTGCCTTTAGGTGACTGTGTTTTTCTGTATTGTTAAATATTGTGACTCTTAAGCCTATGGTGGTACCACAGATACATAGCTATTAAACCACGATAGGTTGATAAACATACCTTGGTGATGGTCAGTGAATCTTCATCCTTCCGCAACAAAATGAGGCCTCCCTCTCCTGGACTAAAGTGGTGCCTAGCAAACTTATAGTTGTCATGGCTATCCACTAGAGGGAGCCATTGGCACACATTAAGCCAGCATGCTGCATTTATCTATTGTTACAAATAGCTAGAACGGGGGTAGTGTTTTCTTGGCTGTGGGAAATGCTTTGGCTGCTTGAAATTAATATACTGTGGGGATTAATGATAATCAAAGGAAATTAAGCATAGGCAAGAAGTTCAGTAATTCCACCAAAATGTTTAATACCATATTAGATTTCCACTGAAGTACAGAGCTAATGTATTTGTACAAAATATATGGTTAAAAATAGTATTGATTTATAATATGTACAGATATGTCACATCTTTGTCAGCAATCCAGACACTTGAATGAGGAGAACATGGTTAATGGTCTCAGATCCACAATAACATACATGAAAGGCTTCTGCAGCTAATCACAATAGGACAACTTGCCAAATCAACAGTAAGGATGAAGCAATCAATACGGATGACATATTCCTTTCAGAAATCTCTGAACAAGAAGCAGTCTGCTCTAAAATGGATTCAAAACATTTCTACTTTTTTTTTCTAAATTGATGGTGAAGAGAACATGTCTTCAGGACACTAATGTAGACACGACGGTCCTGTACTTGATTAATGATCGATCACTTTCAGTGGTTTATTAAACAAGGCTGATTTTCTGATGCACAGAAGATAGACCAGTTTACTCCTGCTGGCCTGATCCTATTCTTAGGAAGTCAATGGGAAAACCTCTGTTGACTTCAGCAAGAGCAAGATTGAGCCCTCTATATTCTGGATATGAATTACAGGGGATTAAATCCTAGAGTCTTTATCTAGGTGCTGAATGCTTTTAATTCCCATTGACTCAGAGGATGAACAGCACCTCAGGTGCAGCATCAGGTTCCTAGTGCTTACTTGAACAAGATTCCCCAGACAAAGAAATCCTGGACACTAGGGCCTACAGATACTCCATTGTTGGAATACTGGTATTCAAAGAGTCCCTGGGTGACCTTTACCCATCTTGGAGTGAGTATCTGCTAAATGGGTTGATAAACCTTATTATGCCTTCCGAACATCCCTGACCTAGAGGCAGCACGGTTTCTCATGCCCTGGTAAGAATGCAGGGTAGCGTTGTGTTTTAGGGAGTGCAAGTGCTGTGCTGCCTATACTCCTCTCCAAGCCAAAGCATCTGCACTGGCCAGTTTGCAGGTGCCTCAACCTCTTTGGGGTAGATAGTGGCACTTGCTCCTCACTGTCCTTGCACTCTTCTGAGCACAAACAGTGGAACCATGGCCAACCCTCACCTAGGCATGTGAGGTAACAGATCTCTTGGGCTACCCCCCTCCTTACACATCTGCATGGGGCACAGCACAATCTCCCCCATATGGTGTTGCTAAAAGCCTCAGTAACTCCAACTGCAAAGCCAGGTGAACATGGTACAGTGTGGGTTGCTGAACTTTGTCCTGTATGAGCTTCTTGAATAAAAGGTGCCGTGTTCCTCACCAACGTAACTATTAATTTTAGTGTTGTTACACCAGGGATTAATCTTGGCCAGGGTCTGTCCAGTACCTTAATCTGTACCTTATTTTTTTGAGCCAGCAAACCTTGTATATTTTGGTAACTGTTATTGTAAAGTGGCTTCCTTGAGGAAAACACAAAAGCTTCAAGATGAGACATTGCTTTATTTTCTTATACATTAACACAGTGGATAAATAATTGCAGTACTTAAACTGAATTTGCAAGGTTTTTTTTTTTTAATTAAAGAATCTTGAATGGAGGGGGAGGAGGAAACCTACAAACAGTGTTCTGTGATTTTGAGTTTCAATGGCTAGCAGGAAATTGCTGAACCAAAACCAAAGCGAATAGCAGTTGCACTAATCAGGATTATTCATAATAACCGGCCCAACATCCCTCTTCCAGGAAAAAACAGTTCCTGTCCCCACCCCGATCTATGACAAAGTACTGCTGGGCTGTTATCACCTCAGATAAATCATTCTGATGAGTCTGGGAGTAATTCTAACAAATAATGTGCAGACTCTCCATTATCAGGCAGTAAGTAACTACAAGCCCAATTCTGTGAGGTGTTGAGTCCCCTTTGAAAACAGGGCCTCTGTGCAAAAAGTGAGTCAGCAATAATCATTCTAGTTGTTGCCTGCTTTGGGCTTCCCAGTGCATCCTGTGCACTCTAATATCTGTCCTGTCTAGGTTGTAAACTCTTTGGGGTGGTGATTATCTTGATTTGTGTCTTGCACAGCCCCAAGCACACCACCGGTAACAAAATACATGCACAACTTTGGGTGTGCAGTCAGTTGTGCAAGTAATCAGGGCATGAACCTGTAAGGTGCTAATAACAATTGGAGGTAAGACATGCCTTCAATTCTGACTCCCAAGAGTTGCTCGGCATCTTGCAGGATCAGGCCCTGATTGCACACTATCACTTGTGTGTGCAAATGCCCTACTATAGAAGTGTAACAGCCCATTTGTGTGTTCAGATTAAGTGCTTAATGGAATTTTGTGCATATAACTTCTGTGCCCATACAGAGTCCAGGTGAGGCCTGTCTGGAAACATGGCCTCCAATGTTCACTTTGGCAACCATTGGGCTTATTTCCAGGCAATGTGGTTTTTCCCTTTTATGCACTATTCAAACACAAATGGCATTTAGACAATTGTCACGTTTCAATACAAATCAGCTAAAGAATCTTTTCTCGTTGCTTGGGCAAGCTCACATGCTGCCTAGCAGTAGAGAATAATTAGGAGTTATACAGACCATTTTACCCCTGGATCCCATCACTGCCACCTTTTTATACCAGACACAAAGAATAAGGTCTACATTGTAAAGAGACCAATGATTTTTGTGTGCTTCAATTTTTGGATGGCAATCTGAGACATTAAAGGGTCCTGATTTTCACAAAGTTCTGAGCACCATCTCTCTGAAAATCAGGCCCCTTTAAGATGCCTCATATTGAGCACCAAAATCATTAGTCACTTATGAAAATTAGATCTAAACGACTTGCAGAAGGTCACACACAAGAAATCTCTGGCGGAGCTTGGTAGAGAACCCATATCTTCTGGCTCCAGTTCTTTGCCTTAAACAACAAAACAATCCTTCAGGACTATCCTAGAGGAAGAGGAAAAATACCCTATATGAATTGACATGGTAGACCATAAACCATCACTCTGATATTTTGTGGGAATCAGGATTAGTATTGTTCTTTTCTTTTTAAGATTAGGCATTTTCTCAGTGCCAAGTTACCTATTTAAACATGCATATGTATCATGTTTACCCATTTTTAACAGCCACCGTGGAGTGATTTCAGTTGGTAGAGATACATACTTGCTTTTCTGAACTAATGCAGTGTGCTATTTTTACATAATCCCAGGCAAATTCAGATATGGTATAAGCAGTGTAAGTTTATGAAAGTCAATGGAATTGCAACTACTTAAATTAGATTTTAATTTTAGCTTCATATCTTGCCAGGAATTATCATAATTTGTACAGAAAACAATAGTGACTGAAGTGAAAGCTTGCATATATCACACTTATATTTCCTTTATCCTCCTGCTCCAGAAACACAGGCCCACTTGAACTACAGGATAATCTCCAGTCAGCAGCATGTGGCCTGTGACGCACATTTTAAGCAGTCCTGGTTCCATCCAGTAGCGAGCAGTAGTGCACATTCACACTAGCCAGTTCACTAGACTATTTTAACCTTTCTTGAGGATTGCTTTTCAAAATGCCAAAAGCAAGCAGAACACATGGACAAATCATCATTTGCCATATTTATTTTTTAAAACTAAGCTCTGAGTTATACAAGTGCAAAAGTGATTCATTAGCCAATAACCTTTTTTAATACTCCTATAAAATATGACTAAATAGAATATTTTTAAAAGGTGTGTACAGTATAATGGAAATGCTGACACATAACTAACTCTCACAGTGCTAGGACATACCACTGTAAAGTCTTGCAAGACTATTTAGCTGATTATCATTCTATACAAAAGACGTTCCCTTTGTCTCAAGAAAGGCCCTTTTCACTGTCACTGCATGAAAAGAGAACTAGCCAATTTGGGCGCAAATAAATGTGAAAGAGCAGGATTGTAGTTTACCCACAGGACACATTTTTAACCCTATTCAAGATTGTTGTTGTATTTTTTTTAAAGTACGGATCCATTTAGCTCAGATATTATAGCAAGGTTTTTTAGAGGGAGGCAATCCAGCTATGGGATCAGCTAGTATGCTGTTCTAGTGATGACAGTGGGTCCCCACAAGGGCATGGGGGTCCTGTTGCAACACTGAGACTTTTGACAATGACTACTATTTATTTTGAAATGTTTGAGCACCCTACTTTGAGTTTAAGGAAGTTAAATGCACAAATACATTTACAAAAGAAGTCACCATATGCAGAGTATGAAAGAGTCTAAGTTCAGAGAAGAAGGGGGAGGACAAGCGGGGTAGAGGGTGCACCAGTAGTAGCAATTGTAAACTTCATTTTCTCTACTCCATTTCTAACCAGAGGAGTGAGCAACGTACATCCACTAGAGGGTGCCATTTCACCTCTAGAAAACCATTTCAGTAGTATCTCAGAACCCATTTGAAAAGCAAGTTTAAAGAATCAGGGCCAAATTCTGCTGTCTCTTACACTGGTGTGAATCAGGAGCCACTGGAGTTAGTCCTGATTTATAGTGATCTTATAAAGTGCTCTGCTTTTGGTGTTGCAAATCCTCATACAGCGAGTGAAAGTCATAGTAGCTGAGTTTGCAGACCTTACATAGACAAAACTCCCATTGAAGTCAGTAGGGCCACAGGATCTGGACTACTGAATTTATGTAGAAAATTTACTTTTCAAAGTGGTCAGCCCTTTTTGAGGAAGCCTGTTTTCCATTACTAGTCAGGCTTAGGCTGCTAGTGAGATACAAAGCTGGCTTGCCAGGTTCTCAAATGTTATTTTCATACTAGAGAGGTTAATCTATAATATCAGAAGTATTGTTCTTTTACATAGTGATTTATAAACCCTGATTGCAGCCATACCAGGATTCCCTTGGGTTGTCTCAATCTTTCAGCTGTGTTTTTCTTTCTGTGGTTTGGACAGTGAAGCTATTTCCCACACCCTCCTGCACAGTACCTATAGCTCCACTCTTTTAGGACCTAACGTAGTCAATTAACTATGCCTGTCTTTAAGCATCCCTTGTGTGCATGCCCCATAATGCACTTTGAGACAATAAGACGAAGAGAACATTAAACTAAAACGGATGCTTCAGTCACAATAGGATTTTTAATCTGAGTTGGGCCCAAGTTGCATAGTTTGGACCCGGATCCAAACCCCCAAACGTCTGATTTTGCTTTGATGTGGGGACTAGGTTTGGGTTCCTTATTCATTGTTTGATTTTTGTACATAAAAGACCAGATCCTCAGCTGGTGTAAACTGAGGTAAATGGAGCTACACAGATTTACAGCAGCTGAGGATCTGGCCCCCAAATCTCTGCCATCTCAAAGTGACGGTTTTATTCGGGAAATGTTACATTTAAACCTCACATAAAAATACTATTCGTAATTAACTGTCTAAAGCCAAAGGATCTTGACATCAACATAGCTTTTTATCTATGTAGTGACGCATGAAATAGGAGGGGATTCGTTCTCCTTAAATCCTATAGCTTGCTTAATGTACCATTTTCAGCAGGATTGGTCACATTATAGTCCCAGGGTGGAAGGTGATTTAAAATAAGAAGAATATTATTCTTTAAATCAATTCTGAAAGCACTGCCAAAACGTAATAATGTGAAATAGCTGAAAAGCTTTTTTTTTTTTTTTTAAAGAAGGTCCTCTGTCTAGATCCCATAAAGCTAATAAAGTCAAGTCTCATTTAGGTTAGGTCTCTGCTGCATTGAACATGCTTGTTGAACCTAAATGTGAACGTCTGCTAAGTGGTGTCCACACTGCACTGAGAATCATCACCATAAGGGTTATGCATAAGCAAGGCTCTAGTTCTCTGTGGTGACGGTCAGAAAAGGAACTCTGTAAAAATGGCTCATTCTTACACCCACAGCTCTGTTCTCCCAATGGGCATTGAGAATTCTCTGCTGATTTTAGTGACAAAATTACATGTTTTTCTTTCTGTCAGTATTGCTGAGTCAATACAGCAATGGGAGAATGAGCTAGAGATACGCACACTGAAGCGTGCGTATCCTTATCGTTAATTAAGATTCTGCCACTGTAATTTTCAGAAACTTCCTAACAAGGTTTTATTACAGAACCTAGCTTGACTTTCAGATCCCAGGTTGACCTTGCAGGGTTGAGAAGTAGAAAAACTTTCTTTTTACTTGTAAATGGAGCAAATTTGATCGGAAAGGCACTGAGAGTTTAAACATGGAACCCCTCAGTGCCATCTCTACAGAGTCTTTTTCAAGGGGGTGGGATAGAACTGCTGCTCATTTGCTTATGCCCCAATCCTGCAAAGCCGTGTGCATATGCTTCACTTTCATAACATTCATTTAATGGAATTACTCACGTGTGTCAAGTTAAGCTCATGTGCCTTTGTAAGAGCGAGGCTTAGATCTCTAGAAAGCACTTTCTCGAAACGGTGAGCGTGCATGAGAATAATTAACAGATGATCTGCCCAGGTAGAAAATCCAAATATCTAAGTACTCTCTGCTACCAGCCACAATGAAAGCACAAAAATGTCAGTAATCCTGTGCATTTTATGGGTGACAGGGACATGTAGGAGTGAGTGAGACAGGAGAGTAAATTCCATGCAGTCTAAGTTCAAGTTTAAGTGTGGTCCTGTTTTATTTGGCCTGGGGGAGGGGCGGGGAGAGAATACTGCATACAGCTAATATGGACCTTAAAACACATCGAGCAAAGGGGGAGGGGGAGTGCTGATTATTAGGGATAGGCAAATATTTGCAAATAGCTGGAGTATCAGGGCTATCCAGCATTCCACTGGAAACCTCTGCCCATCACTGCCTTTTGCTGCTACCATGAGACAGCAATGAATCCCAGTGTAATGGGAAGTTAGCTTCTCCACCCTAAGCTCAGGGGTGCAGGAAAAGAGAAGTAACATCCTTGCCCTCCTGCTGGGAGGGAATGTGAGGATTTCCCCCACTGCTAGCAGCCTGGCTCCCTCTCATTGGAGGGCGAAGGAATGAAGGACACCTCCCCCTTCACAAAATCCTGCCTCCCCCTTCAGCCCAATGCACTCCAGGGTGTGTTAGCCTCAGATTTAAAGGGCCAGCGTATTCAGCAGCAGTCAAGGGACAGGAGTGTTTCACTCCTCTGGCTGTAACTGAAACATGCAGAGAACTTCTTGTCCCCTGCAGAAGTTTCCAGGGGGAGTGAAAGGCCACTGGGTTGCCCCCCACAAGATAAATGCTCAGTAAGTGGAGGTGAAGGGGTTAAAGGCCGCCGAGCTGCTACCTCACACGATGACATCAGGTAAGAATGAGGGACAAGCGGGAGACCCAGGTCTGCTGGGGAGGAGTGGGAGAGTGGGGAGTGGGATCCTACGGGAAGTGGAGCAGAGAATGTTGTTCTGCTAGTCTGAATGTTAATCCCAACATCAGCCTATTTGCTCATCACTAGTTTACTAAGTGATGCTTCTGGTTTTGCTATCATTACAAGGTGCAAAGCTATGAAAAACCCTCAGACTGAGCCCCCTCCCCTCTTCCCAGCCTATTCTAGCCCCTTTCCCAAGATCTATTACACTTGATTGCAGGTGATATGGTTACATGTACAAAGAACTTTTTCCTAGCCCTTGTGTTAGACAGGCTTGAGTACAGAGACGGGATTTCAATGAGCTAGATGTCCCATTACCCAAGAGGCAATGACTGCCCTTCAACAAAACATAGCAAACAGAAAAACAAAGAGCCATGCTGGAGGAGAGAAGTGCGGCTTCCGCTGGAGAGGCTCAGTTAGACACAGGAGGAGGCAGGCCAGGGCGCCGGGTTTGAATAATTTTTGGCTTTGGAGAATTCTTTGGGTCCTCTTCTTCCTCTGTGTCACTGTCGCAGACATGCACCACCACGCTCGGGGTGGACTCTGTCCCTGCATGCAGCTCGTACTTCTCCCCTGGAAGCAGACATAAGTGGTTAGGTCAGAGGTCACCAGTATAGGAGAGCCAAACATTGAGTCTAGCCTTGTCTGTCTCCAGGAATAGCCCTGATTCAGCCATCCGGGTAGCTGAGCTTTACGCATAGACAAAAACACACAGGAGTTTGCCTGGACTGAGCTAATGGAGGTTTATTCCTGCATGCCCCTTTCTACACATAGGGGTCAGCACCCCTGCAACTACACCGAAAGCTGGCGACTGATTACTACGCCAGGCTATTCCCAAGTGTAGACGAGGCCTAAGGGTGGAATCCAGGATAATCTGGACTAGTTAAAAACAAACTGCACTGGTGTCTATGCTAGCATTTCCCACTAGCGCAGCTACACTCGTGGCTGAAGTCACAGAGTAGACAAGGCTTAAAGGTATGTGTAAGGGGAGAGAGAAGGTAGCCGAGTGTCATGGAGATGGGGCCAGCTCAGAACCACACCTCCTAAACCCTCTATCAACAGGGAGTTCCCTGCTGGACTCAAACTTCATGGCTGCTCCTTGTATCTAAAATGGGCCAAACCTCAGCACCCCAGGCCCAAACTTCCTTCGACTCTGGGATCATTCAGATCCAGTTACTCATACTGCAGCTTGGTCCCATCTCTCATTTCTCTAGCTACTGTAGCGGTAGGCTGTGCGGGAGAGGATTTGTTTATCACTGATAACAGTTCCAGCTATAAACATCTCTAAATACCCTTCACCATTGAATGTAGGCACAGCATCTACTGAGCACTTATGACAGTCGTCATTCTGGCGGACACGTAGGGGATTGAACCAGAGCCCTGTAGAGCTAAAGGCATGAGCAGCTCTAGCCTGAGCCAGTGCTCTTTAGCAGTTGCTGTAACACACTCATATCCTCTGCAGATCGGGCATGGAGCGGGACCTGTCCCACACTCAGCAATGGGTTACACACTTATGCAGCACTTTGGATTTTCTAAGTGCTCTGTGCACAGTCATTACTTAACCCTCCAAGTTCCCCGGTGAAGGAGGTCAGTGTTGTGGAGGTGGAAATGGGGCAGGGAAGTGAAATGACTTGCCCACAGCCCCAGAGTAAGAGCCAGGCTCAGAACTCAGTAATTCCTAGCTCCAAGTCCTGTGCACCATCTCCTGAACAACGCTGCCTCTGTTCAGTGCGGTACATGGGGCTGTAGCTAAGAATAATGGGATGGAATTAAGAAAAAGTAAATTTAAGAAGGATAACAGGAAACATTTCCAATGGTGAGATCTGAGAGACACTGGCCTGGTCTCCCCTAGGAAGCCGGGGTTAGTCTCATGGCTTGGCAGTTGAAACTCAACTGGAGAAAGCACTAGAAAATGTGTTGTAGGGAACAATCCTGGCCTCGCAGGGGCAGACTAGATGACCTATTGGAATAGGTCGTTTCCATCTTTTATGCCTGCAAGCACCCAGTGCACTTTATTTAAGTTTGACAAATTGGCTTATTAAGACCCTGACGAACACCATGATCAGCTACTGGCAAACACTACTGTGTCTTTGACAAACTATGCTTTACGAGACTGCTTTGAGTTAAGAGCGGCCAATGCAAATTTACTGTAAATCCTCTAGGAGGAGAGCAAGGCACCATATAGCTAGGTAAGATGGAACCCCCAAATCCTATTTGCTATAGACTAAATGATTATTACTACTTATTTGTATTGTGCCTAATAGTCCTAGTCATGAACCAAGACGTCATTGTACTAGGGGCTATATAAACAGAACCAAAAGATGGTCCCTTGCCAGGTTTTATAAATTACTGAGCCTGATCCCAAAAATCTTCATTCACAGGATTCTTTATTACACACAACTTTTTGAATAAAAGGTTGCAGGGCCCCTATCACTCCAGGTAACTCTGCACCTGCTACAAGGAAAGCATGGTGTTCGTGCTGGTTTGCTGTTCATCCCAGTGAGGTTTATAGGCCTGGGATTAGAGGACAGGGTGCATTTTTATCTGGAGGGGGGAGGCAACTTTACAATCAAGACAGTGAATAGCTCCTGTAAATTAGGCTTCTTGCTGGAAGAGATATTTTATTGCTGTGATCCCATTAATGCTGACATTAAACGTCTCTATTTTTGGAAATCTTTTTCCTGGATCCAGATTGAGTAAAGCACTATGGGGCTTGTTGAGAAGCTAAAATGTAAAAAGAGAAACAGCTTGGTCATGCTGTATGGAGAAATTATATGGTTTTGCTTTGCCTATTTTCCCTGCAGGCTGCAGCTAATTTCTCAGCTATGGGCTGACGTCAATGCTGCCAACCAGCACTGAGGGGCACATTGGTCACTGTCAGCTGCAAAGAGCTCTGCGGTGCAGTGCACACACAAAGCTGGGCCATTTCTTATCACACCACGTACAGTAACTCACATTCACTGTCCTCTTAAAAGGTAATAATCCCAGCTCAGATGCCACATTCTTTTATGCTCAAATTCTTCCCCAAAGGTTTCTTTCCACTGAAAAAGAGAAGTGGAAATAACTATAGACATTGGGACAAACATTCAGAGGCCTCTGGCACAAGTAACTGCAGCAGCAATTAACGTCACTTGAACGAATCAGGATTCAGTGCTCCCAAAAATGGATTCTGAAGGTGTCCAAGTGAAGAACAGCTAATTGCCCTACAATAACGGAGATTCTTTGAGATGCTGTAGGCAGTGTGGATCCTACTGTAGGAACACAAGCACCTCATGCACACGACACCAGATTTTTCTTGATTAGCAGTATCCATCAGGGCCATCCATGGTGCCCGGGCCTCCCTGTGCTCTTGCCATAAAGGGCAGGGGGCTGCTGCACTCCTCCCACAGTTCAAAGCCTGTGTGGCAGAGGACTCTGAAAAGCAGGAATGGAGGGCTGGTTGTGGGATGCAAACAGACTACACCATCTCAAAGAACAGCTAGTGAAAAGTATTTTTCTTCTTCAAGTATTTGTCAGTGTGGATCCCACTGTAGACAGGCAAGCAGTATCCCCCCCCTGAAGTTCAGCTGCATCAGTCAAACAGAGATTAAAGTACTGCTGTCCTGAACGTGGTCTCTGATTTGGCTGCCAGGTCAAATACATATGTCACGGAGTGTGGGGGGACACAAGGCCCTGCACCCCCGGCTTCCTGCGATTCACCATGACTCTCAGCCAGCCAGTAAAGCAGAAGGTTTATTCAAACGACAGGAACACAGTCCAAGACAGGTCTTGCAGGCACAGACAACAGGACCCCCCCCCGCAGTTAGGTCCATCTTGAGGGCCCAGGGGCACCACAGCCCCATTGGGGGAGGCGGGGGGCAGACAGACTCCGGGATCCCTCCC